GCTTGCAAAGGCGACCCTGGCCAACAGCGGCCGAGTTTGAGGTTTGGAGACCGGGGCAGGCTTGGAGACTGTAAAAATCGCAGAAAGTCTCGCACAACGCCTGTGGAGCCGGACGCGGGTTCTCCAAACCGTCCCGCCCTACGCTGTAGGTTGCGAGATTCTGCAGGTGTTGTTCCAACGCCATTTCCAGGACGTGGCATTCGGAGCCTGCCTTCATGGAGGTGAGCTGATTTGCAAAGCGCTTCACCTCCTTGTGCCGCCTCTCATGCACGAAGCATGAAAGCAGAAGACCATGCCTGCGAAGAGAGTCAGGCAAGTGCAGCGCAAAATGGCCCTTCGGCAACACAGCATTTGCGCCATAAGCACCCAGATACAGCCGGAAGTGCTTGCAGGTCGCTGCATCCAGACTGTCAGCGCTCAGCTGCCCAGTTGCAGACACCTGGAGCAGATCCAGAACATCGCAGAGGGCAAAGAAGGACTGAACGCAGGATCGCGCAGGCGCGCTGTGGATGCGGCGGTACACAGTCTGCAAAAAAGCTCGCATCGCAGGGAAACATGCCAGCCCTTCCGAGGCTGAGCACTTGAAGTCTGAAGACTTCTTGGCAAAAAGGTTCCTCCCCGTCACAGTTCGGCCTCCAATGTAGCTCGGCCACTGGCATCCCTGGAAAAACTCGTGCCTAGGGAATATGCAGGGGAAAACATGGGACAAAATTCTAAGGGGTCTGTCCATTTCTATCTTAACGTAATTACAAAGTCTGGAAATCTAGGGCTTCGGCCTTATAGGTCTATGGTTTACATGGTCATAAAATTTTATCGTATTGAGGGCGTAGGCTGACAATAGCACACGGACAAGATCTGAATGTTCCTGTGAGGCACAGCTCAGCCCGCTGGATATCCACTGCGTGAAGGACCTTGAGCAGATACGTCATCTCCGTCTGAAACACACCTGCAACCAGGAAGCAGTGCGTCCAGTCAAACATGCTGATGGAGATGGGCTTTAGCATGGGCCGCAATCTGGGCGCGAACAGAGCGCCGTGCGCCGTAAAATTGACGCCGCAGGCCTTCTCCTTTTCCTTGAACTGTCCCACGTTCAGCAAGGGGCGCTGCTGCGCTAGGAAGGCTGCAGTCTCCAGAAATCTTGCGTCTGTTTGGAGCGCCAGTTTGCTCCTATCCGGATTTGCGTGGCTGACCAAAAACCCTGTGGGGTCCGTCGCGTGTAGCTGTGAAGCTTCGGAGACTACGTTCTGACAACAGAAGCAGAGTCTGTTGCCGGAGGCACCCTTATCCTCCCAGACCTGTTTCAGTGCAGCCTCGTCTGCAATGAGGAGGCCTGCGTGCTTATGTTTCTATCTCACAGAAAATACATACGAGCTAGTAATCAGAAAACGTATACCACACACCATTCTATATAGTGACAGACAATATACAGCTACAACCCGGAAACCACTAAAATTCTGACTCCTAAAATCCTAAAACCTTAAATCCAGAACCCTATAAGCCTTAACAAACAAACGCGTGAGAATTCCCAAACGTCACCGGGCGTCTAAGCTTGCAGCACAGAGTCCATGCCTGGTTGTTCGGCAAGGGAAGCAAGATTCCGTGCCGAAGAACGTCGCAGCGTTCGACCAGGATCACCTCCAGCACTCGCTTCATCAGCTGGGCCATGCCATTGGCAAGGCGCTTGGCATCAACAGACCGAACGGCCGTGAAAATAAACCAGCTGTCTTCTTTCGACAACGCCAGTCCGCCCAGCTGTTTTAGCGAGAAATAGACCACCTGAAGCTTGCGGTCGTTTTGTGGCTTGAGCTGGTTACCAGGCGACACCTCGTCGCAATAAATGCAAAGATCCCAAGGGTGGTCGGGGTTAGAGGTGTGTTTCGCGGCACATTGTGCCATGTGCTCTTGGAACCCTCTGCATTGAGCACATGCCCACCAGAACATGGCAGCCGGGTCCAAATAGGACAGTGTCAGAGGCGCGCCCTCTGACATGACCAAGTCGGACATGCTCCGCCAGAGCGGCCCGTAGGGCGTCTCTCCACGCAGCTCGGTTTGCCTCTTTCTCTTGATCGTGGCTCTGGAAGGGGGCCTTCCCTCCTCGTCATCTGAACCCACCAGCTCCAGAATCTCACTGAGGGCCCGTTGGGACACAAAGGATTTCCGTGGGGCTGAAAGAATTCTGGAAGCTGCCATCGTGCTGCGAGGAAGGATCCCCTGCAGCCGGCAACGGGCGATCGAACGCGGACCTGCCCTTGCGTATCTAGCTCAATATGTTGGCGCTCGTGCAAGTTCTCCCAGTTGCAGGCTAAGCAGGTTGCTTCTGTGGGGCTATGATGGAAAGCAGGTATATCCATTCACAACATGCCCATCTATGCACCCTGAATTTTAATAACGAATATACATCCTGCATCTATGCAGTTTACCCATGAGGCTTCTTTGTATACTGGATGGTTCTCCACTTTCACACCTGCAGCCAGCTGGAGCCAGTGTGCGCGCATAGGAGTCTGCTTGCATGAAACGGAGTAGGTGTGCCTACATCACAGGACGAGCTGCCTTACATCAAAATGTTCAACATGCGAATCAGCATACACAGAGAATCACAGAGACATCGACGTTCAAGGCATGGGATTGCAGGCAAAAGCTGCGCGCATGCGCACGCACCGCAACATATTGGTTTTCTCGGCATGTCTCTCACGTCTCCATCCCAAGGTTCTGGCAGGTGCCCCTTCAAAACGTCCTCCCACAAAGATACACACGCAACATCATCTTCTGCCGAGACAGGCGCTTTAAAGTTTGAGAGTTTCAAGCTATAGAATTATAAGGACTGTGCAAGGTAGCATGCTGGCCGGATCCCATGAAAAAGACAGGCTTCTCAGCCTTTGAAACCATACTTCACAGCGTCTCCTTTGATCCGGAACTGTTTCCCGTCCGGCGCATGATAATAGGCATCGGTTTGCGTGCCTGACCCGCGGACGCGAACTTCCACCTTCCACCCTCCCTTGGCCTTTGTCCATGTGCTGGTAGAGGCAGGCGAGCCCTTCGCTGGCTGCTTCAGAATGCTCTTTGGCGCCGTCTTGGGAGCCGCCTTGGAAGATGGAGCCTTCTTCGCGCAAGGTGCTGTCTTGGCGGAAGGTTTTTTCATGATCTCGGTCTTGTCAGCGTCCCCTTGCTGGGCATTCTTGCGGATGTCGAGGGCCTGCTCGTACGCAGTCACAGCATCGGTGACCTTGAGCAAATTTGCTCCGGACGAGGGCTCCTTGACGCGTCAAGGTGACAATGTGAGACATGTATACAGAAATACATAGATATATATATATATATGGCGCTTATAAGTTTAGGAATCATATATAAGGCATATAGCGTCTGTGTATGGTTTTATATGTAGACGGTTCAGGGTACAACTTGGCAATGTCACACCCCAAACCCTCAAAGAGAATCGCTATATAAGCCTTGTACAAACCCTTAGAACACCCTACGTGCATCTGTATCTCTGTATATATATATACCCTGTACAAACCCTAATTCCTAAACCCTATAAACCTTATAAACCTTAAACCCTAAACCCTAAACCCTATGTATTCCTTCGCGTTTGCAGAATCATCTTCGATGGGAGGCCCGACGAACAAAGACACGGCAGGGTTCTTCGCGGTCTCAACCTGCTCTGTATCTTGCGCCGAACTTTCCTGAGGCATCTCATTCTGCAGGTCCTGCGTGAGCTTGACAGCCTTGACACTCGACGGTGAAGAGGTTGGCGAAGTTCTTTTGTGGAAGTTGGGGGTGAGCAGCTGGAAGTTGTTCAGGAGGTTGCCATCATGGCGCTTCCCAACGTTTGCCTGCATCGCCTGGCACATGCTCATCACCATGGTCTGGAAGTCCACGCCGCTCGGGATCGCGGCATGCTTCTTGCTGGATGAGCTCGGCAACGCCAAAGCCGTGCTCATGGTAGTGCTTCCCGATGATGAATTGGTGGTCCGCGAGGCCACATCCATGGTCATGCACAAACCCTCGGAAACATCAACTGGAGGGTCCAAGACATCATAGGCATCCTGGAAGATCTCCTGTGGCAAGTGCCGCGGATCATCTGGCATGGGATTGGGGAGAACGATGTCCTTCGGCTGGCTTGCAATTTTCTTCTTAAGGGATTGCTTCAGGCTCTTGATGAAGGGCACATGGTTGCTTGCGTCCAACTTCAAGCCGGCCACCAGGCAGGCCTTCATGACATTCTTCACGCACTGCTCTGACGGCAGCCAGAGACGGATTTTCACAAGTCTGCAGGCTATCTGGTCGAGCTTGTCGGCCAAGCTCCTGGAAGAGTCGGCCAGGAGCTCAATGTCAGCGCGGGACAGGTACTTGTGGAAGGTTCTCATATTTTGGTTGGGCCGTCGCGTGAGGGAGCCAGAAACGGCCTTTCTTGCCATGACATCCGAGATCGTGGTAGCAAACTCGGCCTTCTCTTCATTGGTCCACGGGCCTTCGTTGATGGCACGAGTCATATCTGTTGCCTGCTCTGGAGTCAAGGTTGGCATTTGGCCGATGTTTTGGGTGAGGGTCTGCTTCTGGGTCTTCCTCACGCTCTCATAGGTGCTCTGGTCCAGCAAGTTGCGCTGCTGGGAAAGCCACGTACCCATGCTACGCAGCGCTGCCGACATGGTGCTGGCAACGTCGGACATGGCTGCAACCTATATAGAAGCCTATAGCGAGCTCTTTGTTGCGCCAACTGCCGGCGAGTATATAAATGCACTCTGCCAGCCAGCTGCAGCGACTCAAGGCCTGCTGCGCCGCAATGATATTACCTCCAAAAACTTGTTCAGCCGAAGCTGACGCAAAGCATCTCCCTGGACTGCCGGGTTATACCCAAGTTCATCCATTATTTTGGCGACACAGCAAACCGACACACAGACATTTAAGCAGCGCAGCTCACTCTACACAAGCAGAAAGTGCGGGTTATAAGCCACAGCACACTTGTATACACATGTGTCTGGATCAGTTTCCTGACAAGACTGCAGTATATAAACCCTACACTGCATAGACCACTAAACCATATATAACCATATAATTTATAAGCCCTAAACCGAAGCCTGCTTTGAGAGCTGGTTTGTTTCACTGCGGCTGTCGTGCCCTAGCAGCCCTTCCGTACATATATAGGGGGAGCCTGACTTTTGGAAACACCCATATATAGCTAAATATGGGCAACGCTAGAGCCCCAAAGGTTCAATTCCCCATGATCATCGCTGTTATAGCGCCATGATAACAAACACTATATAGCTGTATTTTGCTCTACGGCTGCCCAAGAAAAGCGTGACTGCATTGGAGCCACACCAACCCGGCACACCCAAAAGAACCCCGTCGGTTATAAATAGATAGATATATGTATATATATATATACGTATACACTCCATGATTGTACATATAATGTGGCATATATATATATATGCATACATACGAACCATATACATATATGCATACATACGAACCCAGCAAGAACCACAGGAAGCCTGCGAGGATGACATTTTTTTCCGGAAAAAACTGAAAATTTTGACTTAGTGGTGAAACCTTTTTTTGCAGTGCCGTTTCAGAAAAATTCGCTTCACGAATCTTCTGGGCACGCCCGACCAGACCTTGCACCTTGAGCGCAAGCTCCACCGAAGAAAATGGTCTGCATGCGTAATCATTTTTTGGATCGTGATCCGACCAGTTGAATTGCATCAGTACGAGCCAAGCCATGGTCGCGCTCCATGACCGCGTACAGGATCCTCAGCAGGTCCCTCATGCGCATGTTCCTTGCGTCATTTGCGAAGATCTCAAAGAGTATCTTCCCGGTCCAGTTGTACCGGACGCCAAGCCTGCATGCAGCGCAGGCGGCCTAGACGATAGAAATGAAGCCCCAAGACCAGAAACTATATATGCTGTCCCGAGTGAAGATCACGGCATGCAGCGCATGCACCCTACGTAAGACCTAAAAATTGCGCCCTATAAACCTTCAATTAACATGGGATTTATACACCCAAAAAATAGGACATGCGGCGCACGCATCCTATGTAAACCCTAAACATCAATCCTTGTATAAACCCAAATGCCACCTATGTGGGTCCCAAAACACACCTATGATTTGAAGCCAGTCCTGACGCGATCGCCTGGCATGAAGCACGCGTAAAGGGCAAGCCACACCGTGCCGGTGACGGGCGGTGTTGCAGGGGCAGCATCCATGGTAGCCGCAGAGAGCGGTTATAGGCAAGTTGCCGAAGTGTTCAAAGCTCGCTCCGCGATCTGTAATCTGCGGATGGGTTCGCGCGTCACAGAAGGGACACTGCGAAACCGATATGAAGGTGTCATTGTTGTTTTCCATAGTTTCCATTGTTCTGCTTACGTGTTCCTTTTACCAAATCCTTCATTTTTTCTTGGATCACACGCGGTGCTGTCCCTGGATGGCGGATGGCATGTGTTTTCTGTTGCTTGTTGTTTGTGTGTTGCTGGAAGACTGGCTCCACGTGTTTCTTGATGTTTGGTTCTTTTCGTTCTGAAAATTGCTGGCAAACTCGTTGCGGTTGTTTTGGTGATTGATTCCGGAAATCCTCAAAGACCTGCTTCCTGGCTTCATGGGAATGCTTCATCTTAACGACAGGCATGAAAACTTCGAATGTTGTTCTCTGCAATTTCTGCTTTCTCCATGTCCTTTGTGTTTTTGTTGCGCGTAATTTCAGCAGTGCTGGAAAACGCTATGGAAAGTTGACTGCTTCACGACGTTATTGCATGTGTATTCTGATGGCTCATGTGTTTTCTTTGCTCCCGTTTCCGCATTCCCTCATTCAACTTTCATGTGTTTTATGTTGATTCTTATCTGGTCATGGCTGGAAAACGTGCTCCATGTCTTGTCTTTGTTTTCTTGATCTTGATTTTGCAAATTGCTGGCGCTTGCCATGTGAACATGCCTGCACTGTGCGCATGTCTGTCACGGACATGAACTGCCTACACGCCCAATTTCAAGTTTCAATGCTGGCAAACACGTGCAAAAAGGATGGGCACAACCCCTGCAACATGAACACAATTCCCCAATCCAGCCATGTACCCAACAGCTCCCCATTGCCTGTCACACGTACAGAAACTGTGTAAATATATAAATATATACAATTACATATGTATATATATGTATATAAATCTGTCTGTATATATATATATATAGATACGTACATACACTACACGCAGTATACTTGTATAACAACGCCAATTGACCCACACAGGCCGTGCATGGATGAACGCAACATGTCATGCACATGTACTGCAGCACAACTCACCGACGCTTAACTCTTTTTTGCTGGAATCCACTCACAGCTTCGGGAATGGCCTGCTCGTGGCCTGGAGTCACCTGAACCCTTATGTCATGAAGTTTATACCCGGGCTTCCCACAATTATATACGTGATTCAGCACTGACATATATATTGGGGGAATGAATGCAACACGCCCATGCGGAACATTATGCACCCGGTGACTCCCTGTGCGCACACGACAGGGCCATTCTACACAGTACACACCAACCACCCGTGCACAAATGCAAGCTGCCTACGCACATTTAGGGTCTATAGCTGGCCAGTATATAAACTCAATGTTGAGTGTTTGGGGCTATAAGGTTGGGGGTGTATAGGGTTGAGGTTCAGGGTTTAAGGTGAGGGCTTTACAGGGCATATACTTGGTGGGTCACATGTATATATGTGCGCATGAAAAGGATCCCTCTGCTTGTGCAGGGCGCCGGTTGGGAGGCGGACAGAAGCAGCCGAATTCATGCTTTCCAAGGGGAGACATCTTGGCAGGGAGTTGCATAAATCTATATATGTGTACACACATACGACCCAGAAGTCTATATAGATCCATTTGCATACACGTTGGGGGAAGAACTGCCCTGCCTCAGGTATTGCGGAAGGCTAACGCGTGCAGGGTCATGGTGGGCTGAAGAAACAGAGCAAAATTCCAGGTTTAGGGTTGAAGACGCAGAAGGGCTTGTGTTTTATAGGGTCAGGTGCATGCGGATCCACCACAGCTCCATACATGTTCTTGCCCCACTTCTTGCAAGCAAGCTGGAGAGGCTAGCGAGCACGCCCAAAATGACTAACATCCACAGCCGAGCATGAGGATCTGCATGGAGACTATAGATGCATCGTGTTGAAGAAACTTCTTCACAAGAAAGTTACGCAGGATTTGAACATATGTACTTCAACAGACTACTACACAAATGATCACCCGTACTGTCTGTGGATTACGTCAGCCATCTTGGACATCGCCCCCACGGCTTGATGCAACACTTGCCTTTCCTCACGTCCTCGTCGGCGATGCTGTTCTTTCTGGCCTGCCCGAGATCTGGCCTTCGACCTGCCACCGCCAGGCCTGGGATGCACAGTGATGGGCTTTTTCTAGGGTTGAAGGTGTCCACTTTAACCTGTCGTGCACACGGCCACCCGCATGCATGCAGAGCGCGAGAATGCAGGACAATTACATACAGGTTTTAGGGGTTATAGGGTATAGGGTTCAGGGTTTAGAGCGGAGTGAATCTCTATACATGGTCGAGGATCTCGTGATAAACTCCGCGAGCATCGATCCAGCCTCTGCCTCCAGGGATGTACGTTCCCTTCTGATGGCTGCTGCCGGATGCCGTGCTGTTGGACCTTAATTCAGCGTTGTTTCGGGGTCTATAACACTCTGAGAGCACAATCTATAGGGTTGTGTTTCTGATGGGGAAACATTTAAAATTCAAAACGCGGAGATTCATTTTGCGCAAAGGAACCGCCCACGCAGCGACTTCCAGTCGCCACTCCAGTCCGAGTGCTCCCTCTTGACCCACTTGTTGCGATCGTCACCTTCTGCCTCGTACTGGGCCATGCGCTTGCTCTTGTACCACCAATGGCCACGCCAGTCGGAAGAGAAGTCCTGCATGCGTGCACGGCACACCCAACGGTTCATGTCTCATAAAGGATATACATATATAGAGTTTGGGGTGTATATATATATATTTATTTATTTATGGGGATCTACATGCAACGGGGCCCTATACAAGGCTACCACAAGGTTGTATACTCAAATCCACACTGTCTGAAGCTACACACGTCCGTCCTCCTCTGGTTCCTCTGGCTCGAGGCCAGCAGCTGCTTCCGCGCCGCCGTCGTCCCCCCCCTCTGCAGTCTCCTGCTCCCACTGGGCATCCGTCACGCCCCAAGATGCATCCTCTCCCTCCGGCCACGGATCCTCCTCCCATGGCTCTTCTTTTTTGGCGTCCATGACGCCCTGCTCTTAAAAAGAATCCTGGAAATGCCTGTCAGGCGTGTGCAAATGCAGTGCAGGTTGCACATCATGCCACGAAATCAGAAACACTCCCGGAACCTAAGACAATGTTCTCCGAAAAACATGTCGTGCAAAGCTTGCGACTTCCCCCTGTGCATCTGCCAAATGCTTGAGCTATGCACACAAGCAAACAAGACATGCACTGCATGTGACTCATGGCTCCAAGCAAAGTAAGCAAAAAAACATGTCATAGCATGGCGTGGCTGTGCGCAAGCTGACATCTGAACGCTGCCGTGCTTGAAACTAATGTATAGAAATCACAATAGTATAGCTCAAATGCAAATACATGCAATAGGCTATAAGGGCAAAGGGTGACCAGGCGTGATAATGTTTTTGCTGTACGTGTCGCGG